CATGTGTTGGGAAGAAGACCATGCCAGCGTGGGCTGGTTTGCACATATGTCCTCCTTTGCTTCATGGCAGCATCCATCCTAGAACAGAGATCTCTTCTCAGGTCATTACAGTTGCTTTCACATCCCGCTTCTCTCTGGTCCCTGCTTTCTCGTCCTGTAGCGCAAGGGACAAGCTATTCAATCCTTCCCATCTGCACTTCTCTGTGACAAACAGGTGTCACCATCATCTTGGATAGTGAAGATGTAATTCTACAGTTATCTGAAGAGCTGAAGAAGGGAGCAGCTTGTTTTCCTTGGCCATAACAGGGAGGACCAGTTGCGAGATTCAGGCACATTCAGGGATACTCTTGGTGAGGTGTTAAGAGAAGCTTTCAGGCAAAGCAAAACACCACACATTGCCTGTCAGGACGTGGTCTGTCCTTTGCTGCCTGTTTTCTGTCAGCAAAGACATAGGTAGCTCTGCCGCTACCTCAGGGCCGAGCTGACCCCTGTCCGCTCCAGCAGTGCCATGCCCGGCTCGGGCAGGTCTCTGTGGTGCTTCACACGATCACTGGGTCTCTGCGAGGCTGCGGACGGCTCCAGAAACACCTCCGAGCACTGCTGTCCCACTGCTCTCATTCACAGAACTCTCTGGCTTGAAGCCCTCAGCATGGCAGCTATTAAACGATCACTGCCGTACAGCGTTGTTCCTCGAGGTCTACCGGGGTGTTGATTAGCAGAACGTCACTGGTCCTTGCTGCTCTTTGGTTAGTGGCTGACATGAGCCGGGGCTTTCAGGTTTTAAGGCTGGTGAGAGCAGCCATTATGTTAGTGTAGCAAAGCGTCGATCCATGTAACACTCCATTTGGTCGTGCCGTTCCCGTCTGGTGCACGGTCCCGCTCTGTGCGTTTGTCTTGGAGAGCAGGCTGAGCACTCTTCAGCGCCATTTCGTATTGGCACACAATACAGGCTTGTGGTTATTTCATCTCGAGTATGCTCAGCGGCACCAGGCTTTGCCAAGCACGGTAAAAGTTTTTGCATTATTCTATATTGATGGTGTTTGTCTACTGGAATAATCTGGCTGTGTTTCCTATGCATCTTCTGCTATTACACTGCCTTTCTTTGTGAGTTTCTCACTTTGACTGTTGTAGCGGAGTTGCTTTTCTAACGCACTGGCTCCCTAACCCTGTTATTACTTTTGGCACTCAGTGCGCATCCCGATTAAGCACATTGGCTCTCGTTTTCTCTATTTCCACATTGGCCTGCTGTCTGAATTCCTCTTACCATTACATTCTAGCACCGCTCTGTGTTATTATTTATTATTTATATTGCAGTAGCGCCTTAGAGTCCCAACTGAGATCTTGGCCTGATCATGAGCGTCAATACAGCCTCTTAATATGTCCTTTTTCTACTGTTTCACTGCTGCTGACCGTGGCTCCCTTTGATGTCTGTCAGTGTCGCGGACTGTCTTCTGGCATTCAAAAAGTGCAGAGGGGTCCGTGTCCAGCTGTTTTGAGATCAGTTTGAAAGTTAAGAGACATAGTTGCCCACTCTGAGAGACCAGGCTCTCCTTGACTTTCACCCTCTGGAAGAACAAGCGTGCCCCTCTGCTGAGGATCCCTGAGCTGTGCCATGAGCTGCTCGATTTCAGCATCTAGCACCAGAGTCACTTGTTGCCTGGGCTCCTGGTGACTCGGCTGGCAGAAGTGTGGATGCTGGCCCCATCCACCTTGCGAGGCTCATGCATGGGGTCAGACACAGGCATGCACCCAGGTGCAGATGCCTGGCACATGTCCATAATTGCCAAAGTGGCACAGCCAGGCACACTCCTCCCCAACATGCATATGCATGAGCACCTGGCCTGATTCATACAGCAGCCAGCTCCTTAAATAGCAGGTAACTATAACTGCAGGCCTGCCAGGAAATCTGTGGAGCTCTACGTGGAGCTGGAGGCCCCAAACGGTTGTTACCGTGCTGTATGGTGGGGGAGCTGAGCCTTTCTGTGGAGCTTGCGTTTTTATCACCTTGATCATGATCATGAGACAACATGGTGTGCCAAGGGTTCAGGGTAGAGGTAGCTGGAAAAGCTGGGTTTCTGGGGAGGAGGTCATTGGATACCAATAGGGCTAGAACTGTGAGCCCATGCAAAACTTGTTGTCCTTTAAGGTCTAAAAACAAAACTGTTCCTGACCTACCTTTCTTCTCTGGCTTTGGTTTGGGCATGACTTAGCAGGTATAAAAAGTTGCTTTGTTGCTGCATGGTGGGAAATGTTAAGAAACAAAACACAGCACAGTAGTGCTCGTGGGAGCATGCGTCCAAGTTGCCATGCTCAGCCTAGCCAGGCCTTTCCAGGACTGCTCTCTCGGGTCTCTTGGTGTCCAGAGCTAGGGTGACTGATATTCCAGGTGAACTATCTGCACAAATCCTGCAGGGAGAAGGCTTAGCCCGGGTGAACAGAGGCACCAACTTGTGGCACCTCAGCTTGTGAAGCACTAATGTCCCGGGGGCAGGAGTGCAAGGCCAGCTAAGGGTGTTGAGGCTGGAGCTGTCACCAAGCAGGATTCCCACCACCCATCTCCCTGTGCAAACCATGCTCTTCACTGAGCAAGAAGCACATGATGGGTCACCAGGACAGGAGGTTTGGGAACCAGGCAGAGAGCTAGTACCCACTGCAGAGGTGGAAGGGATCAGGCTGCGGTGGAAGATCCCATCCACACCAAGATCCCAACCCACTGTACAAGAGATGCCTGCTGCTTGCACTGACAGGGCACTCTTCCCTCTCTTCCCTTTTCTTAGTTTTTCCTCTCTCTTGCCTTTTTCCAGGGTGCCAGAGGACCCGATGGCCCAGTAGGCGAACCAGGATCGCGAGGTGTCAAGGTGAGTGTCGGCAGATGGCCAGGTTGCCTGAGACTGCTCTTAGCCCTGTTGTAAGAGCCCCCGGGCAGGATCAAAGTCATGTCTTCCTTCAAGAACAGGGCAGGCTCCACGGTTCTACGAGAATCCGGCACCACAGCAGGTCCATCGTGCAGCCAGAGCAGAGCCTGTCCACACACACATCAAGGCCTTTGCTACTGAGATCTAGACCCCCAAACACAGAGACATCCACAGATGTCAGTGAGCTTCTGCTAAAGGAATGGGGTCTTCCACAGGCAAGGGAGTAGCTTAGCTGGCAGCGAGCGCCAGGAACTGTTATCTCTGAATTTCACACAGAAATCCTACCAATTTAACATGACTGGTAAAACATGACCCTACCAAATGCGTCTTTGTGCTGATGGACCTTCTGTCAGTTAGTTTAGGATGAAAAGAAACAACATGGCAGGAGTTACCTGGCGCAAAGAGAGCCTGGCAGCTGGCCGCACAGACCGCTGCTGCATGACGGCCTCGGGGATAGGTAGCCAAAAGAGCATCGTCAACCCAGCTCATATTTTTGCCAACATCTCTCCCTTGGTTTTTGTTTGCAGGGACGTCCAGGGGAACCCGGCAAACTGGGGCCAGACGGGCTGCAGGTATGTCCCCTGTGAGAGCTGGTGCCTGCCAAGGTGGCATGGTGCCAGACCCCGCTGCGGGTGCCACACACACACAACGCCCAGGGAATTGCAGTTTCTCCTGGCCAGTGACACCACTGACATTCCCAACTGCTAATCACTGTCATTGTGTGTTTGCAGGGGAAGATAGGAGAGACTGGGGAGATGGGATCACGTGGCTTCCCAGTAAGTGTTCATCCCTTCTGCTTCCTTTTGTATTGCTGGTTTCACTCCAGTCCTTAAATTTTGGGTCCATGATCCAGCTGAAAAAAACCTTGGATAACATCGCAGCTTAGGCTATGGGGCCACCGTTCTGCTCCTTTTACTGGAGCACTTGCAATGTGTGTTGTGTGCTGAGAGGCATGGAAGATTGCTACAGGGTTGGAGCTGACCTTGATGTGTTTAATTTTTTTCCAGGGTATCCAAGGACCTTCCGGACCTCCAGGAGCGAAAGGGGCTCCAGGCGACCCGGCAAGTGTTTTATCACTCTCTCTTCGTCTGTTCTCCCCCAGCACACAGGCAGACACTTCATTTATATATATATATATTTATTTATTATTATTTATTTATATATATATATATTTATATATATGTGTTTAACTCTGTCTGACTCTCCCCCTCTATCTAGTCCCACTCATGGCTTCTCTGTCCCTGCCAACTCCAGCATGGTCAGAGATGTGAAAGATTTGGCTACAGTCCTAGGAGACATGAGGAAAGAAAAGATCAGATCTCTGGAAAGCAAAAAGAAGCCATGGATAAACCAGGAAGAGCATAGGATGCAGCCTGGACTGGATTTCTGAAGGGAAGGAAGGGTAGAAGGGCAAGGCTGGGTCTGGGAAAGGGTTAGATGTAACAGGAGGAGTTCGGCTTGGCTGGAAGAGAGGGTTTAAGAGGGACCAGGATAGAGGCTGATGGAGTCAGAACTGGAGCCTGATGGAGCCTGCAAGCTTGAGGAAAGTTCTGGGAGATTAACACATAAACCTGAGGGAGCGCCAGCAAGACCATGTGAGCAGAAGGACGTGTCATCTGCTCTCTATGGCTGACCTGGACTGTGAAGGGAAGAGGATAAAACAGACATTTTTAAGTTACAACTACAATTGTTTCAGGTTGGAGCTAGCAAGATCAAGGGCTTGCTGAGCAGTTGTTTAGCTGTGCCTCCTTACAAGGTGCCTCCTTGTTTTCTGTAGCTCGCTGGCTGGCTCTTGCACACTGTGTAGATCCACTGTGACGGGACGGGAGAAGCAGTGTTTTATTTTACAGGCCACAAAAGTCAGCCTTTCAGAAATGAAAACAGTTGTATGAAGAGAGTCTTGTATTTCTGTTTTTCAGGGACCACAAGGACCACAGGGGCCACCTGGACCTTTGGGAGAAACTGGGCATAAGGTAGGTCTGATGTTTGTTCCCATTTCTTCTCCCCTCGCACCAAGAGTGGCAGGACAGGAGGGACAAGTAAGGGTGCAGAGGCATATCCTTCTGCACCCCGCGGACACGAACAGGAAGGATTTCCCACGGGTCGACTTCCAAAGCAAACAGCAAAAAATCGGAAAGTGGAGGCTCACTTTCATCAAAGGCAGACCATAGAAACCCAACTGGCAGATGAGCAGACCCGTCTCCATAACAAGAGAAATGTTTCAAAGCTGACCACGCTCTCACAAGCGTGTCGCAGGCCCCTGGTGTGCCAGAGACCACATTTCCATACCGCAGTGCAGAGCCGAGCACAAATGCAGCAGCAATTCAGACTTGAAAATGGTCTTTTCTCCCCCTCTCCTTGCTGCTGCCGTTGTGATCAGACACAGTTTTGTCAACCAGTTTGGCAGTCTGTCGCAGGTAGCTGTGGCCAGTGGAGGAAGCTCAGAGAAATGGCTTTGCTTCTGACTTATGATTTTTGAATTGTTGTTGCCCTGAAGCAATGGCACAAACGCACCATAACCCACAGCAGGAGCAGTTGTCAAACAGTGCCCATGGACTGTGGGAGAAGCTTCCAGCTCTTCTGCAGTCTCAGGGTTGATTTGACCTTCTTATTAGCCCTCATCAAATCTACCAGCTCTCCTTGTGAGGCTCCTTTCCCTAGGTTGTGATTCACTTGGTTGTGAAAACAGCAACGAAGGTGCCTTTTAATACAGTCTGCTGTAAACACATGAGTCATGAAAGTTTCCGTTCTCATAGCTGCTAGACTGGATGGAGCACGCTCTCAGCGTGGTAAACCACACTGGGGAGCTGGAAGGCTGCTACCAAGCCACTTTCGATGTTTCCAACCAAGAAAATACAGAGTTTTATTCAAATCAGTCTCCTTCAGGAGCCTTTCTGTGCACTGGCACCACTGGAGAAACCAAAGCAAGATCTTTTGCTTTCACTGGAGCGTGAATTTTCTCATTGCCTGACTTGACCACTTGTTGGGTGCATCTTGCTTCCTCCTCAGCCTAATTCATTTCAGCAAGCTAGGAGCTGGCTTTATTCTTGGAGCAGCTGGGAACTCCCATAACTATGTGCTCTTTCCTTTCTTCTGAGTTGCAAAGAGTTGCCAATAAGCCACTCGGATCCTTTAAAGACAAACTTTGCTGTCCCATCTTTAGTCTTCTTTTACAGATTCTCATTCTCCATCCTTTCCTGGAGGTGGTAGAAAATGTACAAAGTTTAAAGCTCTCAAATTTTTGTGGTACCAAAGGTGCTTAATTGAGGTCACTCTGCTATTGCAAGCCTAGCAGCAGCGGGGCATTTACTAAGAACAGTCTGCAGGGTTGTTCTCTCGTCCTGTCTCTTCCCACCTTATTTTCCATAATTTTCTGGGTCAGGCACACATCTGTGGCTGCCTGGGGGATGCTGAGTGCCCTGTGTGTCAGGACGTAAGCTCAGACAGACAAGACCTAATCAACTAGCTGCTTTTTTCAGCTAGTACAGCCTGGTGATGGGCCTGGCCGATGGGTTCCTAGCCCCGTTCTTGGTTCTGGGTGTTTGCTGGCCCATCCAGGCAGAGCAAGTGGGTGCTGGATGACACTAGAATGGGTAATGGTTGGTCTGAGGAAGCCATCCTGAACAGCTGAACAGTTCTGTTACCCACTCTATTAGCCAGCCCGCTGAGCCCTTACGAGTGCCTTTCAAGTTCAATTATGTACCTCTTCCCGCCATCCCTAACGAGGGCCAACCCTGCTCCCCAGGGTGGTTTCTCACCGCAGAAAGCAGAGGAGCTGGGAGCAATGAGGGGTGGCTTGGCAGGAGGTTGCAGCAGGCCTGGGGAGAGGGAAGCGTGAGGGATGGGCCCAGCCCTGGCAGGAACAGGACACCAGGGGGTCCGTGACCCCTTCGATGCCGCAGACCCCGGGCCAGCGCCAGGGAGGTAATTACACTGCAGCGAGGGCTCCACTCCCCCAGGAGTGCTCTGCTGATGGAATTTATGTCTTTGTTCTTGTTTTCTGCTTCGTTACAATGGAGGTTTTCGCCATCTTTTTCTTTTTTTCCTCTAGGGACCACCTGGCTCAATGGGACAGCCTGGCCTTGCAGGTGAACCTGGCATGAAGGTAAGGAAAAGTCCTTCGTGCAACTTCTCTGTCAGACCAGGGAGAAATAACAGTCACTTCTGTCTCTGCCAGGAGAAGATAACCTTGTGGGTTCACTGTTGAGCAGCCAAAGCAGCCACTGTAATCCACAAAAAACTTCTTTTTTTTTTTCCAAAATAAAGAAAGAAAGGTTATCTTTAAGCTCTTGCTTACAAATTCCTGAGCCCTATCTCTGTGCCAGAGGAGGGATGCTGTCTGTGTGGGGAGAAGCACCATTCCAGGGATCTCCTGCCTCCAGAGCCAGCACAGGGCTTTGAAAATGCAGCTCAGTTCTTTCACAGCTGTGAAATGTGAGCAGCGAAGGGAGTCCTTGAGTCCCAGAGATCTGGCAGCTTCTTGGTTGAAATGAGAAGGGTCTTGGGAAGGTCCCAAGTGTGCAAATACCCTCAGAGAAGATCCTGACACCATTTGCAAGCCTCGGCTACCTGGGGACTGACCTTCACTGATGGTTGTTGAAGGGAAGGTGCCCTGCTCCAAAGCCATGAATGCACCTTCTTGTTGGCATGGAAAGGCCTGTAAAAAACACAAAAAAAGGACAAAAAACCCTCTTTGTTTGAATAAGATCCCTGTGCTTAGCAGCTCAAAGGGAGTTTTATTTTATTCTGTCCCCCTCTTTGCTTCGTTTGAAGGATCATTCTTGTGTGCATAGCCTTTGAACAGGCTGTATTTGGGATTAAATGCAATTTCCTCTTTGCTGTTCTTCGCTCCCCACCCCCACTGCCGTCCTTTGCCATGTTTTCCTTGGCAAATCTTCTGACATTTCACTGGAGCTACTGTGTCTTTGGCGTCCCAATACTGCACTAGTGTTCCGGCTCCTGTGCTCCTGGCTCCCCGTCGGCGCCTTCGCTGCCTTCCCGGGAATGGCCCGCGCTCCGTCTCCCCAGCGAGGCTTTGCCATCAGCAAGCAGTTTGTCCCCATGTCTGTGCCTCTCTCTTCTTAGGGTGATCCTGGGCAGCTGGGAGTTCCAGGAGAGCAAGGCCTCGTCGGTCAAAGAGTGAGTACAGTTCCAGTCCAACTCTGCTATAACGCTTCCCTATATCCTCAAGATGCCGTTTTCCCTGTTTGCCCATAGCCTGGGCAAAGAAGCCCTGATCTGGGAATCCTGCAACCCTCCTGTCCCTTGGCATGATAGAAATGTTTTCCTCACAGGGGCTGTAAGTTTGAGCTCACCCACGTACAGGAGCCTCTCTGATGCTACAGAGCTAGTGACTGTCTCACTCTGTCAGTCATCTGGGTGAGCAGCTGGAAATTAAAGGTCACAGAGAGCTCTGAAAATAGTTCAAGGGGAGATCTCCATATCCTGGCCACTTTCTCTCAATAAAACAGTTGTGTAGGAGCCACTGATGAGAAAGGAAGGCTCCCGCCTGCAGCCAAAGCCCTCGGAGAGGCTGGAGTGTGAAAGGGGCTGTGTGGGAACAGGCCCGGTCTGTTCGCACGCTGTGCGCGCCCGGGCGGCCTCGCGGGGCAGGGAAGCGCTCGGCAGAGGCTGGCATTAAGCAGGGAACACTGGCTGCACTGTGCACACGTGGGAGGGAGCCAGGCGGGCATGAATGCGTGGATTGATGCCGGCAATGCCACTTGTCCCTGCTTGGGACTAGAGTCAGTTGGTGGAGCAGGATGGGGAAGCCCCAGGTTAAATGAATACAGACTGAATCGTCTTTTCCACCCGGGGAAAGAGGTCTTCCCACAGGCCAGTGGTGGGGACTGTGGAGGAGAAAATATGGCTCAAGATAAAGCAAGAAGTTGCCATCTTTTCTTGCTCCAGGAAGGGTTTGCACAGCGCCAGCTTCCCCTGCCCGAGGGCATCGGCACAGAGGTGGCACCCGGTCCCGACGGCCGCTCTGCAATGCTCCCTGCCAAAAGCTCCCAACCAAAAGAGCTTTGGACACGGCCTTATGTCTCTTTGCCTCTCTGTCTTGCAGGGAGAATCAGGGCTGGAAGGGGACAGCGGACCACCAGGCCCAGATGGCGTCAAGGTAAACGTAGCTGCTGTGCCCGGTTCCAACAGTCGCGCACTGTCCGCGCGCTCAGGCCCACGGCGTTCCCATGAGCAGGAAACGGGGGGCATTGGAAGCCACGGCGGGTATTGGGATTATTACCCGTGTGCAGAAGCATCTGTCCTGCTCCCCTTGCCAGGCAGGAGGCAGCCCCCGCAACCACACTTGCTCCTAAAGGAAGGTCTCTGCTGCTGTCCTACCCAGCCAGCGTGGCCTTACCTTGAAGTGCCAGTAGGTCTCAGTGCTGAGGACCTGATGGATGCTGGATGGTATTTTCAAGTTCTATAAAAGACTCTCCCTGCCTTAAAGATCATTCATTAGGCTTTTACTCAGACAATTGGGAATCATTCGGGGTCTAAGTTCAATGTACGTGATGTTCAGTCCTCCTTTTACCTGCTTACACCTGTTAAAACCGCTGCTCTCACCCCAGAGCTGCGTCCCTGGCAAGCAGTGGCCACGGCAGGGCTGTGGGGGTGATGGGTTTTTCCACTGCTTGTTCCTCCTGCAATCTCTCCTGCTTATTGTGCATTTTAGCTGATCCGTTTTTCCACAGATTAAGTCTTTCTTCTCTCTGCTCTGTTTCTGTTACTCCTTTCAAAGCTGAGTTTTTCTTGGAGCAGGAATTGCAAGGACCATTTCCATCCCTTTAGGGGTCATATTTCTGCCTGGCATGGAGAGAGGCCTGGCATGGCTTGCGGCTCCCCTTCTCTGTTGATTGATAGCTGCAACCTTGGGAAATTTGGGATTCAGAGGCAAGGTGCTCTGATGCAAAGTTGTCCCTTGTCTGGTATCCCCTTGCTTCTCAGATTTATGCAACAATTTATTTTGAAATAAGAACTAAGGATTTTTTTTTCCTGCAAGTTCACATATTGTCAAATTTAAGCTGGGTAAAGCTTTGATTTTTACAAAGGATTCCTCATGTTTCACTGCTCTTCCCACATTTTTGGCATAGGATCAGCTCTTCAGAAAGGTCAAGTTCTTCAAAGTCTAGTTTCCAACAATTTGTCTGGTTTATTTGAGTTTACGGATTAAATTTCCAACTGATCAGGGATTCCTGGTCCTGGCAGGGGAAATCAAGAATCGTCCATCATTCTGCCCCGCACCATTGACCATAACATTGCTCATGAGTAAAGAAACCAGATCCCCTTCCTCTTGGCAGCATCCCAAATGCTTACTCAGGTCTCACGTTGCCCTGCATACGTAGGAGCCCTAAGGCTGCTGCCTTGCCCTTGGAATAGGGCTCTGATTTCTATCCTTGTGCACCCGGCCTTTCCACACAGGCCAACGCATTTGTTCCATGGAAAGAGAGAGCAGCCAGTCCCACAACAGTTTACTGCTTTGTTCTAGTTAAACTATTTGCCATGCATCTCTATTTCTCCTTATCTCTGAATGTCAGACTGAAAGATTAAAGGCTCTGAAGACCTTTGTGTTCTCTTGCCATTGCTTGCCCCTCTGTCCTTAAGGGGTCTTGAACCAAACCTGATCTTTCCAGCCTGAATATGCCTTGGCTATGCAAGCATTTCTTTATCCATAAGAGACACACTGTGCTCTCATCAGCACAGCTGCAAATCAGGAATCACTCCATCAGGACCAGTTGATTGCCCAAGTGTCGGTGCTGCTGGGAGTGCAGAATTGGCTCTTTTGGTTGTCTCCATAAAATTGTGCGCCATCGATTGTAATAGAAGTGACTGGACGTGATACCTACAGCTCCAACCACAAATCCTTTTTGGGGCAAGATGACATTGTTTTGCAGAGTGCTTATTTGAGCCCTGGGCTGATTCCCATCTAGCAACAAGTGCCAAGCAGGCGATCCTTACAAACACGTCCTATGAAAAATCTTTCAGCATCCTGAGCTCAGGGCTTCTGGATGAGGCAAGGGAGTCTCTCAGACTCGTCCGCCTCTCTCATGCACGTGGGAGGCTCGGGCTGTATTGCAGGAGGAGCAAAGGGTTCAAATTACCCTGTGTAATGGGGAAGTTCCTCCTTCTGCAGCCAAGAGACTTAAAATAAAAAAATAATAATAACTGGTTTTGCTCATTTTGTTAAATGTCAAGTGTATTATGACTCAGCCTCATTCATCCTTTTGTTTGCAGGCTCTCTTCCTTCCCCGCTCCTGAAATATTAATTATGTGGTGTTTTTTTTCCTTGCAAGAGCCCTGTACAGTGACCCAAGTGCTGTGTGGGTATGAAGAGCTCACTCCCTCCTCTCTTCCACAGGGAGACAAAGGAGAGCAAGGCCTGGAAGGAGAGAAAGGAGAAAAAGGCAACGAAGGGCTGAAGGGAAAAGAAGGCGCTCCTGGATATCCGGGAATCACAGGTGTCCGAGTGAGTCTGAGAAACCAGCCTGCTGGTCCCCGTCGGCCGGTCCTATAATGCCTTAATGCCTAGTGCTCTCCTCCCCATCTGGGTGTGTAAAATTCAAGCTCTGAAGGGCATGAGGAGCCTTGGCTCAAGAAACCTCCTGTGCCCTCTCGTTAGGGTCACCGCACGCGTTCCCAAACCAGCAGTTGCATCCTGGCCTGAAAAAATCCTGAATCGCTGCGTGCGAGAGGCGCTGCCCGTCCTGGGGCGCTGCCCGTGCCCTGCCGAGGTTCTGCACCCCGGCTCGGGCTGCAGGCACAGCTGAGCTGCAGGGTGCAAGGCCAGCCAGCTCGCCTGCACACACAAGATCTTTCTGCAACAAGAGGGCAAAAGAAAACTGGTAGTGTTGTGCCTGGGAGACTGGATTTCCTTTAAATCTAGCAAGAAATACACACGGGCCGGTTTTCTTTTTCTTTTCCTTTTTTTCCTCAAGGACCGCAATTACTGTAGATATTAATATTATTGTAACGGGGCATGCTGTGTTGCAGCAAAACACCTGGTATTTCTAAAGGAAGATGCAGAGAACCAACCAGAACTGGTTGCTAGGACAAGGAGTCCTCCGAGATGGAGGACAGGTTGGCATCAAGTATGTTCTTTTTTGCAAAAATGTACACCCAGGGAGAAGGATTGGTGCTTTAATGAGGGTGCAGATTTGAGACGTGGGTCGCTCCTGTGCTTCTGCACAACCTCCGCAGCCAGAAACTCCCTGGCTCTCACCCCACACCTTCTTGTGCAGCCCCAGCATCCTGGAAGGGACGAGTGGCCCGAGTTTGTCAGGCTGATGGTGGCACCCAAAATGCCCCCTCAGTCGCCAGGTATCACAGTGCCCAGGGGGATGCTCCCTTCCTGCTGCCCATGTTGTTTTTCCTTTTGGTGACACTGTAGCTGTGAAAAGGAGAGCAGGAGGAAGGGTGTGAAGGGATGGAAGCAGCAAAGGGGTTGGACTTGTGTTATTTTTGGGTTGAGGTTGGGATTTTGAGCTCTGACTCGACTAGAAAGTGGAAACATTGGCTTAATACCGTTGTGCCGCTCTGCAACACCATAAATGTGCAGAAGGAGGCTGGAGAGCCGCCCCAAATAAAGCCACGCTTGGCCACAGCCCCCCATCCCCGCTGGGAGCTCTGTGCAGGATTGGGACCGTTGGGACCGTGGTCCCGGGTGCTACCTAATGTCCCAGCTTGGCCAGCACACGGCCTCGCTCCTGGCCGCTCCACGTGTTTGCCTTGCGCATGCTTAGGGACCAATAAAAACACTGCGATTACGAAAAAGCCATATTAAGTTATAGCGCATAAAATATAGATTCTCGCAGATTCTATCCCTGCTGTTTGCCAGCATGTCCCTGGGAACATGATGCCGTTTTCTGTTTTATTATTAAAAAAAAAAAGTCAATAGAGCCAAGATTCCTGTTCATAATCACTCCCCTTTGTTTTTTTTTACTGTGGAGTGCTATGTTTCCATCTACTATTTTAATGTGCTTCCTTACGTCTAAACTCCAGCAGACTGAGCCCTGCATAAGATGGAGAGTGCGGTGCCTCCTTTGCCAAATGTCTGGCCATAACCTAATTTATAGGCCATCATTCCTGCCCTTACCGAGGAAATGCAAAGATGGAAGTCCTCTGACAGAAGTACAAAAACTTTCTCTGTCAATATTTTGAGGATATTTTTTCTGGACTCCCCATGGAGAAAATGCACAAATACTAGTGGGATCTTCCTGAGGTTTCTGCCGAAATAAAGTTTGCAGATTAGAGGTGCAAACCGCTAGAGATAACTACAATCCCCTCCTTTTTGAATAAGTGTTGGAAGCTGGAATATAAAATCACCCTCTGTAAAATGGATGCCCCAAAGCCACCTTAGGCACAGCCAGCCACAAAAGTATGTGATGGAGAAAGGTTTCTTAAGGCTATTGGACAAAGATAAGGTCCCCTTAGGGGAAAATGGTGAGGATGTTCCCCTGAGGGCAAACGGAGAGGTTGCATGGTGACAAGCTCTTGTGCCAGGTTCCTAGAGGCCTGTCGCCTAGTGTGACACCACCAGGGAAGAGTCACTGGGCATGCTGCAGACATGGAGCATTTCCCCCTTGTGCACGTTGCGTATGTTTTTAGTACACCTGATGTGATACATGCATGATAGTAATATCAGTTTAGATGGTTTTAAAGTAACCTTCATCTTTAGTTTTCGCGTCTGCATCAGGTCTCTCCCGGTGTGGTCCCCAGGAGTCCTCACAGCTGCGTTTCGCTGCGCTCCGTGCTTGGATGCATCGTGTTTTCCCTGGGCTAGAGACAGTAGCTTCAGCTCCAATGTTAAGGTATCCTGGGCACATCCCAATGTGGCAGGGGTGGTGTTACTCCTCCCGTGCCAGTGGTGGAAGAGAACACACACACGTGCGTGTGGATTTGTCTAGGGACCCGTATCCAACCGTCAGTAAACTGATGTGGAGCTGGCTGGGAGCCCAGCATCTAGTGCACCCTCTGTTTGGAAGAGGTTCGTGTAGAGCTCGAGGAAGTCACTGACATAGAGTCTTCTCCAGGTCCTGGGTTTGGTCCTGCACTGCCCTTGGCGCTGGTGTGCCAAGATTGCCCTACATGGCCACCAGAAATCCCCTTTTCAGCACAGATCCCTGCAGCTGCAGCATTTTTTGAAGAAATCCCCATTACTCCATGGATGTGTTTAGTCTTAATGGTTATTTTGCTTATGTTCAGAGGAATGTGGCACTTGATATCAAGTGTCCACTAGCAGATGTGGGAGACGGGATGGCTGCTGCCTCTGGAGTGACGTGGCTCTTCCCGGTGCAGTCCTTCCTGCACACACACCCTCAGGAAAGGCCGGTGCTGGCAGCTCCCGGGAGCCGCAGATGAGGCAGGAGCAGGGGCGCTTGGCGGGGCACGGCCAAACCCACGCTACACTCGCCAGAGGGAAACACCAACCATCTGCTCTGCCCCTTTGGGCCATGCAGAGAAGAGGCTCTGGCCCAGCCAGTGTTACAGCAGGCCCAGGTCTAGCGTTAGCGAGTGAGATTTTATTTTCCAGAAAGCTGTCGCGGTGCTGATATAACGTTCCCGAGCGCGACCCAGCTTCCCTGGGTGCGCGAGGAGCGTTCGTCAAAGACCGCTCGCTTTGTCTTGGTGCCGCCGCCGCCAGCATTAACATATCTGAAAATCGGTTTCCACTGCGGTTTGAAATCACAAACAAAAGCAGCAGGGAGGCCCCAGGCGCGTCCCCAGGGGTAGTTTGTACACGTCTCGGAGCCAGTGGATTTCAGCAAACAAACCTGGCAACCGAGATGGGCCCTGAGTCTCACAGCTGTGGCTGGCAGCCCTCGAGGCAGCTGGAGCCATGAAACACGAGTATCCTCTATCTTTTGGTCACTTTGTCCAAGTTCACACTGCTCCGTTCTGCTCCATTTCCTGCTCAGCAGAGGGACAGGCCAGTTGTCCCTCTGGTAGAAAGAAAGAAATCGGAGCATCTAACATCGCAGCCCAGCTTCACGCAGTCCCCAGTTGAGATTTGGAAGCTCACAGCAGCAGTGTGCACCTCTCAAGCTGCGCTCTTATGTGTGGTCACTGCCCAGGGGTTTCCTTTCATGCCAATTTTTTGCCTTTACTTGATCTTGGCTCTTTTCTGGACTTAGCCATCGGACCCTCCGTTTTGCTGCTTTTCTGTAAAGTGGTCTGTTTGAGCGCTGAGACTGACAGTCTTTGCAGAGTGCAAGGGAGTGTTTTGGGCCTCTCGGTTCACAGCTGCAGACACAAGTGCTGAAGGGTCTGGGATCAGCAGCGCCAGCAGCAGGAGCAAGAATCATCCCCTGGACATTGAGGCTCTCCGTATGAATAGGCAGGACGTGGATCCATCTCCACAGTTAGTGGGAGGCCAGAAGACCGAAGAGCTCTGGGAAACCCGATGGGACCTGCATCCGTGCCACAAGCATCTTTGGTTTGCCAAAGTACAGAGCTGATTTATCTGCTGACTCCTGACTGTGACAGGATAGTGTGACAGTGCCTGGAATATCCAGGTGACGTCAGAGTGCAAGGGGCACTTGCAGTGAACCCTGGCTGCTTGGTCCATCCTGCTCTTTGCAAAAGAGGCCAAGAATCAAAAGTCCAAGTTGCTGACATGGAACCAGCACACCAGACGCAGGCAGGTCGTCACTGTGAGTAAGTGCCCTCTGGAAGTGCTCCCCGGTGCCACTGTCCCTATTGATCTCCAGAAACACAGCAGTTTTCCCTTGGAGGCCGAGTGGCTCCAAGAGAGCCAGTGGCTGTGTGGAAGGCCTAAGCCAGTTGGCAGGAGCAGGGCAGGGGGTTTCCAGCTGCTCTCCGTAGCTGCGCGCTGTGGTTTTCCTAACGTGCTGGTCGTTGCACAAGGCAGACATCTGATAGCGAGGTTTTTACAATTCCAAGAAAGGAACTGGAGAGCCTGTAGGTAATGAAATGCAACATGCTCCAAAACAAGAAAATCCCTCGTTGTTCAGCAAAACTGGGAGCGGAGTCATTTTCTTTTTCCACTTCCTTTTTAACCTGAAATCCTATCTGCAGTGCTGTTCAAGCCACATCAGGAGGCAAAGAGCCTCTTAGCCAGCCCCTCCAGTTGTATAAACCGGTTACATCAGAGTCGCGCCGGCGGCTGCCCTCTCTGCCGCGCAGTGCACGTGTGCTCCAAGAGAGCTCCTAAGGCAGAGAATTCCTTTGCTGAGGCACCACCAGCTCCAGGATCCTTCTGTTTGCTCTCCCTGTCTGGAATTGCCCAAGGCAGAGAGGGCAAAATTACAAACCTGAAATGGAGGTGGATGTCTGAGAATGTTTGGGGGAAAACTTGCAGGGATCTCAGCCCTTTGAGGAGGACCATCTCCATCATCTGAAGAAGGGAGGCTTGCTGGCCTGGAGGGTCCATCTCCTCTGAGCTAGGAGTGCTGCTGCAGAGACACCGTGGTCTTGGGCTGCTTTCTGGGCTGTGTTATGCAGGGACAG